CTGAAATTATCATTTTTTAATCCCAAATCAAACTGTAGCTTTTTTGCTGTTGTTTTGTCATAAGCTACAATTAATGGCGTAGTAACATATTGGATATCTCAATTCTATCGTCTAGGTGTATGGTGTCAAGTTAGCGCTACATATTTACAACTTCTGCTTGAAAAACGAAATCTAAAATTTTTTTCTTTTCACAACAAAATTGTAATAGAGAAGCTGCAATAAATGCCGTTGCAAATTTTTCGCTATCTGAATTTAATCCACAGTGGGGTGTGGTGTCAGGTTAGCACAACATACTAAATTTGGTTCGAAAAACGGTCAACTAAATTTTTTCCAGAAAAACGAAAGCTACAAATTTTTTCTTTGTCATAAGCTACAATTAATGGCGTAGCAACATATTGGATATCTCAATTCTATCGACTAGGTGTATGGTGTCAAGTTAGCACCACATACCATTTTTTCTTAAAAAACGAAAGCTACAAATTTTTTCTTACCACAAAAAATTTACAACAAAAAAGCTACAATTAATGTCGTTATAATATTTTCAATATCTTAATTATATCGACTGGGTCGAGCCTTGTCAGGCAATATTCATTTATAGGGATATATTTTGGATCCTTGGCTATAAACCTCTTTTATAAAACTGTCCCCTACGTCTGCTTTCTGCGCTATTTAAAGTCTAAGTTTAAGATCCTTCAAAAGGGATTCCAAGCAGAAATGTTCAACGGCTAGTTGGGGAGATTCGATGATGGCTTAATTAAAAATCTGTTAGTCTGATCGAATATTATTTTAACAAAGATCTGGTGGAAAAACTCTTCTTCCTTCTGTTTTCATCAGTAAAAATAACTTAAAAATATAAGAAAACGAATGTGGAAGAGTGCGCTCGATACCGAGATTGTACATACTTAATAATTACTTTTAAATATTAAATTCGTTTTATTAAGCTAATATTTTTATAAACAATCTATAAACAAATGTAATTGCTTTATAAACGTTTATTGAGCTTAGCTTTTGTAAGTTCCGATGTAAGAAACATTAATCCAAGCGTTAACAAAGTTGTGTATATGTAAAAAATTTATTAAGTATTTATTGCTTATTTGCGTATTTGGTACTGTTCAATACATACATATGTACATATCTACATACTATATACATAGTGTAATGTAGCAGTTGCCAGTAAATCGTAAGTAATACATTATTGCATCCCCTTTATAAACTGAAATGTTGCTNTGTACTTAATAATTACTTTTAAATATTAAATTCGTTTTATTAAGCTAATATTTTTATAAACAATCTATAAACAAATGTAATTGCTTTATAAACGTTTATTGAGCTTAGCTTTTGTAAGTTCCGATGTAAGAAACATTAATCCAAGCGTTAACAAAGTTGTGTATATGTAAAAAATTTATTAAGTATTTATTGCTTATTTGCGTATTTGGTACTGTTCAATACATACATATGTACATATCTACATACTATATACATAGTGTAATGTAGCAGTTGCCAGTAAATCGTAAGTAATACATTATTGCATCCCCTTTATAAACTGAAATGTTGCTTAACTTTCAGAATAAGGGCCCACGGGTACTATATACATACATATGTATATTAGACTGCAACACTCCCCATACAAAAGAAATCGGTACTGTTGTTTCACTGGAATTATAAAGTATATTCAGCCTTATTACGAGTTTAATTTTCCCCGAACCTGTTCACTTTTCAATTTTGGTTTCCATAAAAATTTTCTGGGGAAATTTTTTCAGACGAAGCGCAGGATAAGGCAGATTATATACGTTTTAAAACTTGCACCAAAATGTTTCGGGAAAAAAAAAGATTTACGTGAGCTGGACCGATTTCAAAATATCTCCAAAAATTGGGTTTTTGTGAATAAAAATAGTTTTTTTAAGATGTTTTTGAAAAAACAAAATCACCCCATATAACAAAGCAATNTAGATTTTTAAGATGTTTTTGAAAAAACAAAATCACCCCATATAACAAAGCAATTTAAACTTAAAAAATCAGCATACAAATATTAAAAATTTTCAACGGTATCATAATAATGCGATTTTTTATGCTATTTTTGAACTATTTTTTAACTTTTTTCAAAGATTAGCAAAAAAACTTGCATAACTCAGCCAGAACTTTACTATTAGACTCGTGAGGCATCATTGGAAAGGTATTNGTAAGTTCCGATGTAAGAAACATTAATCCAAGCGTTAACAAAGTTGTGTATGTGTAAAAAATTTATTAAGTATTTATTGCTTATTTGCGTATTTGGTACTGTTCAATACATACATATGTACATATCTACATACTATATACATAGTGTAATGTAGCAGTTGCCAGTAAATCGTAAGTAATACATTATTGCATCCCCTTTATAAACTGAAATGTTGCTTAACTTTCAGAATAAGGGCCCACGGGTACTATATACATACATATGTATATTAGACTGCAACACTCCCCATACAAAAGAAATCGGTACTGTTGTTTCACTGGAATTATAAAGTATATTCAGCCTTATTACGAGTTTAATTTTCCCCGAACCTGTTCACTTTTCAATTTTGGTTTCCATAAAAATTTTCTGGGGAAATTTTTTCAGACGAAGCGCAGGATAAGGCAGATTATATACGTTTTAAAACTTGCACCAAAATGTTTCGGGAAAAAAAAAGATTTACGTGAGCTGGACCGATTTCAAAATATCTCCAAAAATTGGGTTTTTGTGAATAAAAATAGTTTTTTTAAGATGTTTTTGAAAAAACAAAATCACCCCATATAACAAAGCAATTTAAACTTAAAAAATCAGCATACAAATATTAAAAATTTTCAACGGTATCATAATAATGCGATTTTTTATGCTATTTTTGAACTATTTTTTAACTTTTTTCAAAGATTAGCAAAAAAACTTGCATAACTCAGCCAGAACTTTACTATTAGACTCGTGAGGCATCATTGGAAAGGTATTTTTTCATACTTTATATTTATTTGCAAATAAGCTCATTTAAATTAAGAAAGATAAAGGTAAGATAAATGAGGCTCATTCCCAGTTGAACTAAGATGTGTTATCTTAGTATTTAAAAAAGGAAAAATGCAGAGAAATAAAAAGGGTGAGAAAATAGCTTTCCACTGATATCTACTAGTAGTATCGGAATAGTTTTGGCCCAGTTATTCAAGTTTTTTTCAAACAATTGTTTTTTATGTTAAAAAACAACACCAAAATTCTCTATATGTATTATGATTTCGTTGAAATATTCTTTTAATATTTGTATGCAGATATTATAGGCTTTAACTGTTTTGTCATCTGAGAAGGTTTTGTTAAAAAAAAACTCAATTTTTGGAGGTATTTTCAAGTAGGCCCAGCTCACGTAATTCTTAATATTTTACGAAATATTTTGGTGGAAGTCTTCAAATGAGTATAATAAATTGTGTAATACCGGCGGAAAAACCGAACTTTTTTGGTAGTTCAGCCTAATGTACATATGTATGTACATACGTATGTAGGTAGGTATGTACAAATGCTAGTTGATAGTGTCTTTATAGATCTTCTTTGCAAGCAGGGAAAACATGAGGCAACCTAAAAAAGTGTAGTCAGGAGTGCAAAACAGTAATTTCAAACCCGATGAATCATGTGAATTGTGAACTAAATACCTGGGCATTGAACTGTATCTATATAGATATGCATATGTATGTATATATGTATAAGCATAGTTTAATATGAAAATATATCTCTTCAATCCCTAATACTGATATGATATCCGTACCGAGCTTATTGATATTGATCCGAGGTAAAAATTCACTTATACTTATGTATAACAAAAGTTTCTCTCGTCGTCTGCGATGTGGTCTGGTAACGTAGCACTAATTTATTTCCCCTGACCGTTTTCCAACTTTGTATTCATCACTCGACGCAATCAAACGCAAACAAATATTTTATTGCAATCACGAAAACTTGCAGTCACTCGAATAAAAACTAAATATCTACATGACAAATAAATACCTGTCAATGCCAGGGAATTAAATGGAAATGTCGAGTAGCAACGGAATGAAAAACATTCAATAAATAAATTAGGATGTCAGTTCAAAATGGAATGTCAAACTTGCTGGAACTTTTCTGGAATGCACTACCGGAAACCAATGGAATTCCTTACCGGAAGTACAGGGCGATAGCAAGTTTTTGATATGCAGTTTTCCGCCAACGGCGTAAAAAGTTTCTTCATCGATTGTTTTTCGGATTACTACACATTACGGCAATTGTGCACTTTGGGTCAGTTTTGCCAGTTTGATACTTTTAGAGCTAGATTTAGCTCTTTATTTTTCTATTTAAAAATTTGCCGACTGAACGCTGAACCGTACATCAGCACCCTCTCCGTACCCATGACAGCCGGGTCTACGTAACCGGAACGACCCAGATTTATGTTTGGTCAAGGACTGTCACTCCAGCAACATTCCCCAAAAACTCTTTGGGGACCTTGTATGCTGCTACAACAACAACAACAACCCTATCCGGCAAAAATGTTTTGAAATCAAATAAAGTTGTCCGGACACGAACCTTGAATACGCCTTTAAAGTCAATTAATCCTGCTATTCAGTAGTTCAATGCGAGCGGGAGCGTGAGTTTTTTATTTTGACTAATATCTTCGTTATTACTTAACTTTTCGCAACAGTTGGTACATCAAAAAATAGACAATTAAAATATCTTTAAGAATTAAAGAATAAAAACTAATTTAAAATGCATAATATGCCTTTTTCCAAGTTCACACTCAACTGTGTGCGTACACAAAGCATTCGCATATGAACGTGAACGACAAGTTTTGACAGATGTGTGTGTGCGTGCTCACGCTCGCATTAAACTGTATAGCAGAGTGGAAGCGAAGCCGAAGATGAAGAAGCTTTTTTACTTAAACTTTTTTCTGCGTGCAACCCTGCGTTGAGTTGAACGCAAAGTTGAACAATGCAAACACTGCTTTACCTTAGAAGTCGATAGTGCAAAAAAATAGAACCATTCGATAGCACCATCGATAGTTTTGCAGCTCTAAAATAAACCATCCTTATTGAACACGGTTTATTTATTTTAATAGTGTTAAAATTAAAAAGGTGCATATAATTTTATTTGATTGTAATGAATCCAGGAGAAACCGCTGAATTTGTGAATGGCTTCAACGTAGCACTTTCTGAGCCATTTGAAGCAATAAAGGATGTTTCCGATGCGCCAAACACGTTGAATGGAAAGATGAGCGAAGTAAACAAAATGGAAATAAGAAACGGTGCTACTTTAGAGAATGACTACTTCTGCAGTAAGCTGGGATTATATAGCCAAGACGAGACATCCCTAAAGCGGATTCTACGAGACATTTATCAGTTCGTGAAAGAATCGTCGCTGAGCCAAGACCCAGGTGCACCAATTCCACCTTCTAAATGGGCGGATTTATTAGTTAACATACTCTTTTCCAAGACATGGCACAAAACAACAATATCCGATGTACTACTATGTTTAAAGTTATATTCAAGAACATTTTTTGATAGACGTATTGTACAAAGCCTTTGGGACGCATTTCTGACAGATAATGCGAAAAGCGAAGCAGTTACCATAACTTCGGTATATGTTCTAATTCAGTTTTTTGATGAGTTTTCAATAGTCATAGACGGCTTCCAACGCAAACCCTATGTCGAAAAATTTGTTTATAAACTATTGTTATCAGAAGGACGCGACGAACGCAAAGCAGCTGTATTTCTTATGAAAAAAATGAATTGCCATCTTGATAAAAACGTTAAAAACTTTTGGTTATCGTACATCACCGTGTTAGAAAACTTGGAAGAAAATCAATCACATCTAATATTACCGTCTTTAGAATGCCTCAAGCAAAACACCTTAACAACCGCTGAAATACAACCATGGCTTGATATTCTGTACATTAAAATTCTGGCGCACCGAAATATTCTCGTGCTCCGTTGGGCACTTGAGTACATTCTCGAAACTTTTACCTGCGCAAATATAAACCCTGATGTATTACTGCAATTTGTAAAGGCCAGCAATCATACATGTTTATTCAATCACGAGAGCTATTTTTTACCAACCGGAAATATGCAACAATTTTTGAACGAAGGGCTTGACCGATTTATGGGATGTATGTCGGAGGTTAATTTTAAGTGCGTCCCCTTGCACTTTTGGCTCTCCAATATTTTCATGTGTAAATCAACATCAACGGTATATTCGCGCGAGTTGATTTTAAAAATCGCAGCCAGAATTCGTGTACTTCAAAACCAACATATCCGAATAAAAGCAATTGAATTGTTTGAACACATATTTCGCGAAGCCATTTTTAGAATGCCGTTGAATGAATATGTCGTTTTAGTCGAATCGTTATATAATCTTACCGAACCTTTTAATCACTTTGACACATTTTATCTCAAAATTGAAGATGGTGTCAAAAATATTGATGGTGTTTTGTTTACTCAACGGTTTTATGAGATCGTTACAAATAATTTGTACGGCGAACTAACATCCAATCATCCTAACTACAGACAAGCCACTGATAATGTGAATGAATTGGCCACCACGCAGTCAAAACTGTTAGATAAAATAGCAAACAGTTTAAAAAATGTTAAAAACTCGGACAAAGGGAACCTTATTTGGATACTTCTGATGCTAGTTTTCGAGTGTGAAAACAAGGAAGTTGTGCAGAACATTTGTCGTCGGTTTTGGAATATAAATTTGAATAAACTAATTCATGTGCCTTTCGAAGAGCTGAAGCATCAAATAGTTTCAGATATGGTTAAGGATGCAGATACAGCCGAATTTTTTCGCAAAAAGTTTATTGACTTTTTTGTTAAAGAGTACATAACAAATTTTTCCGATTTACAAAACTACATAGTAAAAATTGAAGATATTTTAACCACTGGATCGCATAAAACGCTTTTAAAACTCTCAAAATTGTTACCAAACAACAAACTCGATGTAAATATCATCGACGCATTTTTAATAGCACTTAAAAAATATTCCCGGATGCAATCGCTTTGTTATATAGTGTAGGTAACTTTCGAATTAACAAAAGTTAAACTTTTGCCAGTCAGATGTACATATTTTTCGCCATATATGAAATAATGACATCTTATTTTTTTAAATTCTCGTATTTTTGTTCTTGGTTAATGATACATTCTTATGCGGTAACATACATTAAAAATAAAAAAAAATATTCCAATGAACTGATAACCTTCTCCTTTTATGAGCTTTTGTCCCACGAACTAATTAGTAAAATTTAATTTTACAGAACGACGAATTTATTGAGGTATTTAAAAAGTATCTATTCGCCAAATCAGCTGGAAGACTATTCGCACCAAATTTTAGGTATAGATTTTGAAAACCTTGGTATTTGTACAGCGGTTTTGAATTCTGGTATTATTCTGACCGAAGAAACTTACATCAAGGGTATGACGCTCGGAGACGCAAACTTTGGGGATGCGAGGTAAAATAGCTGCAAAAGTTTAATTTAATAAATCAACATATAATACTTTAATTTTCTTTCTTACCTGAAACACAGGACAGAGGAATTGTATTTATTAAAAATAGACAAAACGCAGTGTTCTCGCTTACAACGAATACGTTTGCAATACGTTTCATTTGTCCCCGTTGAATATACCAACGCCATATTAAATGAACTTCTTAGCATGCATAAAGCTTTGAGTATTAAAAAACCAAGATATTTTGAAAATTCCATGGAGCATAGAATAAAGATGAGAATAGCAAAGGCCATATCAGCAATCATAAATAAATCACACATACATTTTTGGAACGAGGACTTATTGAACCTGCCTCTGAATTATAACAATCAATTGAACATCAATTATGTGTACGAACTACTTGTGGCGAAATGTGCTCCCGACGGTGATGTCATCCTTAATAAATTGATTAAAGTAAGAAAAACTACAAAATATTTTAGCAAAACCCCAAAAAGCTCCCCAGGACTTACATCCATATAAACATACACACATATAAATAAGTATATTATATTGCATACATATACCAAAGATGGCAACCCTGCATACCATTTTATCAGAGTATTCTGAATCGTAAAGGAATTTTAAAGAATTCGGAAAGATCCCATCCGATTTTTTGCCGAATTTTCTAAAATGAAATAAATTACGCACACTTCCATTCTTTTCCGAAATTTCAGAAGAAAATCGGTAAAGAAATGAAAATAATGCTGCTATGTGAAGAATTTCTTGCAGACTTTTTTCAAAATTTGCTTTATTTTTCGTACAGAAATTTCTTTACGAGTTCGTGTCAACCACTTCATATAATTTTCTTTGAAGATTCGGAAAAAAATCGTTACAGAAATCAGATACTCCTAAAGATTTCGTTAAGATTTCGGGAACTTTGGTTTGCAGGGAAATGACAGTTATCACTAAAAGTATTCACGTTATAGGTGCATTCTTTTGCAACCGAGCTACAAAAAAACACTCGCTTAAATGACGAAATACACGCAAAGCAACAACACGAACTCGGCTATTTATCCGAGTTCAGCCAGATCGGTTAAAAAATACGCTCACGGTTAAAAATTTCGGTTTTAATTTTAAAATTTTTGGACTACATATATGACCAAACTAAATTCAGTTTCAAATAAAAACCTTCCAAGTTTAAAAAAATAGAGCACATATGTTGGGTTTAGAATTTAAGCCAGGGACCGTAACGGTTATGCTTTTTATCGAAAAAGTTAACAAATAATCGTTATTTTTTCCGATATGTTTTCAGTCAAAAATAAAAGTTACAAATTGACTTTTAGTATTTCGGTCAAAAATAAAAGTTAAAATATGACTTTTTCGGCAAAAATAAAAGTTAAAATTTGACTTTTATTTTTTTCAGTCAAATATAAAGGTTAAAATATGACTTTATTTTTCGGTCAAAAATAAAAGAAAAAATTTGACTTTTATTTTTTCAGTAAAATATAAAAGTTTAAACTTGACTTTTACTTTTCCGAAGATTACGTTCGAAAAGCATTTATGGAAATAGGCACCTATAAGGAGAAGCCCATTGGTGTTGATACGGACCTTATGGATTACTGGGAGAGTAAAAAATGTATGTATCCCCGACTAAGAGATCTGGCATGTATTATTGCCAGCGACACAAGTCAGTGTAGAACACGCGTTCTCAGCACT